AGCCCCACTAAGCTTCCAGTGACTAGTATCTACTAGATTTCTTGTATTGTTTATTACCACTCAGCATTTAACTATTTACTCCTGATGGTTTAAGAATTTCATGTTGTACCACACTGTCAAATTCTATTATTTCTTCCCCTCTATAGATGTGAGTTTGAAACAAACATGGTACTGTAATCCTGCCTGGTAGAGTGGAATGGGAATTATTTTTTAAGTGGGGGACCCCTCCATTTTAATGTTTTTAATAAGAACTTATCATTGGAAAAGGGAGGGAAAGAAAATGAATGTTTACTAAAAAACAGTGTCTACTCTTCCCTTTTATGAGTGTATATTCATGGTTGAATGAAGAGAGGAATACTTGGGTTTTCTGTTGCCGTGTTGAGTATGGGAGGATGCTTGACAGCATGCTAATCGAAGCCAGAGCAAGTATGGCGCCATCAGGTCGTCAGGAACTCTTCAGTTGAATGCTGAAAATCTAGCTAATTAATGGTTGGTCACGTTGAAATTAGTTGCAAAAAGGAAGTGGCTGGCTGGTTAAGCACCTAAAAAGGAATACAACAGCCTAATTGAGTGTTAACCTAGGTTTCTGGGTTTGAAACTAACCATTCCCCACCCTGTTCTACACACCTGAAACTGTCCGTTTTCTTATCAGACCAAAGAGCAAAGAAGAAAAAAAAAGTAAAAACACTTTACCAATCTATGTCACTCAGGTACAATTTTGTGGTAAAATTTTTGTCTGTTTTCTTTGTATTGCTCTTAAGAGTCCTTGGTATATTATTCTGCTGTTGCCTCTGTCCTCCTTGGGGCACCTCAGTTCTGGATGCTACCCCCCTTGGGATCTCTACTGCTGTTATGTGAATAAGACGTGACTATTACAGTAAGGGCTCTTTGTAAAAAAATTTTTTTAAAAATTTAAAAATTTTTAAAAAGGATGTTGTATACATTTTATAGTCTGGCTATCAGTTTGATATCTTGCTGTCAAGTATGTTTCTCAATCTGTATTTATCCATCCCATCAATAAATGTTAATGACAAAACTCTCAACCTGGTTGTCATGAGTCTTTGGACTAGTCTGTTGTTTTATTGATCGGGTTATGGAAGTAGTTTTGGTAATAGGATACTTTCTTCCTGCACAAAATCTGGTGGGAATTGAATCCATTGGAAAGACCCAATATTTGGTCATCACAGTGAACTTAACTTGGTAGCATAAAATATGTCAGAAAAACATCATTGTTGCATGAATACCTCGCAGTAATGGTAAACAGAAAAAAATGTCCTAATAGATGTAGCAACACGTCCTACTTACCTAGCAAACATCATGTGTTTCATAACTGTTTTTTTTTTTGTAAAATCTGAACTGTTAGTGTAGACACTGCATTTGGCAGATAAAAAAGCTGAAGCAGTACCAACAAAGGTTCAATGAATACTCACACCTTTCCTGAGATAGAAAATCAATATAGGCTAAGAATTATAAATGACACATTTATAAGGAAAGAATTTTTGTTAAAACCTCCTAAATTGTGACACACATTAAGCAGTAGCTGTAGTTGAAATAATTGAAGAAATCACTTGAGTTCTATTCCATTAAAAAAAATATATATTATTTATGCATACAAAAACTGGGGTACTGGCCAGATGTGCAGGGGGTGAGAAGATTCCCCAGAGACAGAGTGGGGAGCAGAGCAGGCAGATGGACTGAAATCCACTGCTGAGGGGAGCAGTGGATAGGAGAGGTCTGCTGCGTCATGGGGGTCACTCCCGGCCAGGGATCGATCTTATGCTGTGACTTCATAATGCACTTTAACCCTTGTGCCACCAGGGAGGCCCACATTTATTCCATTTTCTTAAAGTGAGTTTTTATCTCCATCTCCTGAAACTTACCTGGAAGTTGCTGACATTTCAAGAATTCTGGTCTGATTTGAAAAGGAGAATAGAGAAGCAGTAAATGAACCTGGGCATGGATGTTACATAATCATAAAATAAATGACTTGCTTATGTGGAAGTTAGTCTCAACCAGCATTCTTCCGGAAAGTTGAACAAAATGTCTTCTCACCCCCTGCACATCTGGCCAGTACCTCAGTTTTTGTATGCATAAATAAATATATTTTTTTAAAGTAGAAGAAATAGAACTCCAGTGATTTATTTTCCCTTCTGTTGTTTCAACTACAGCTACTGCTTAATTTGTGTCATAATTTAGGAGGTTTTAACAAAAATTAGTGTATAACTGGGTTCTGATCATAGGGTTTGTTAAACTAATTAGAACTACATATCAATGCCTGTGTCTTGGTCTCACTGATATATTTAAGAGCTAAATGATTTTGACTTGATCTCTGTTACACAGTCTTCTGTATTTTAAGCCCTTTTCTCTGACTATTGTGGAGTTGGTAGAGGCATTTGTTGTAATGATCCTACTTCTGAAAAGTTTATTTAGCTTATGGATTATCACCTGTCCTACTTAAGCTCTTTTTTTCATTGTGGAACATCAATCTCCTCATTTCACATAACATTAAAAACCAAAAGGCCACAGTAATGAGAAGTTAAATATGAGTATTTGATACAGATTTCTGAAAAGTAGTTTCAGGGACTCCCCAGCTTTTTATTTATTATTCCTTCATTAGAAAATAGTACCTACTAGGTGCAAGACACACTTACTGATGAGGACTAAGGCAGCCAGCAAAACGAGCAGCCTACCCTTGTAGAAATTAACATTAAAGTTCTAGGGAGGATAAGTAAATTGTATTATATTACTAGTACTTTGAACAATGTAAAACAGGGAAGGGGCTGGCTGTGTGTGTGTGTAGGTAAGATTATTGAAATAGGATATAAGATAGGGAAGGCCTCATGAAACTGCGTTTCAGCAAAGACCTTGAGATTAGAGAGCAAGCCATGGAGGTGGTTAGGGAAGGTCATTGTAGGAAACAAAGCATCTGAGATGAGCAGATACTGGCATGTTTGAGAAATGGCTAGTGTAGCTAGTATGGAAATGAGTGAAGGGAGTAGTAAGATATGACATCAAAGGCAATAGGCTTGATTTTTTAGGGCTTGTAAAATATTGTAAAGACAATAAAATGGCACCAGGGAGGCATTTTGAGCTAAGAAGTGCATTGATCTAGTTGGGTTTAAAATATTCATTTGAGCGTCTGTGTTAAAAATGGATTGTAGGAGTCTAGGATAAGGAGAATGACAATGTTTGAGATGAGTGATCTGAACCAGGTTGAAAGTGCTGAAGAAATGAGAAGTTACATACTTGAAGTTGGAGACAGTGGGAGCTGCTATAAAGTAAGATAAGTTAAAGCTGACTCCAGGGTTTGGCTTGAACACCTGGAAAGATGAGGTTGTCCTTTACTAAGATGAGGATACTACAAAAGAGCAGGAGTTTGGCACATATTCCTATTTTTCTCTCTCCTATTTCTCTAACAGCTCCCAAAATTTGCAAAAACTCTTTCCTTCGAGTATCATCTTTCCTAATCTCAATTAACCTTTGTGATTCCCAGCAAAAAAAATGTCTTCTTTATAAGGGTTGGAGTGTTTGCTTAAGTATAAAAATCAATTGCTATTAGTTTTATTTCTTTATTGCATCCATGTCCCAAAAGAGACCACAAGTGACAGGCTATCTAACCCCATGGAGTGTGCACAGAGCCCAAAAAAACACACAACCAAGATGGCACCATCCTGCCAATGATGGGTGAAGCTCCTGGCCCACAGCAAGTAACTGGCTGGCACCCAAATGACCACAGTTCTCGTTGTATCTCCAAGACCTGGCAATTAGGTGTTCAATACTTATTGAAAAAGTAATTTCAGGGAAGAATCCTCTAGGGTTACTCAAGTAGTGGTCTGTTGTTGCTGTGGATCATTGATGCACAAAGAACTGTAACACTAGTGACTGTGTGACTGGCATTAGTGGCCGGTGCTGTTCAGCACTGTTGAAGGGTCATGGGTACTCTGTGGCCAGGTCACTTCTGAGAACTAATTGTCTGGCAGCCTGCCATCTCCTTTGTTGTCTGGGCCAGCATTTGGTATCCGGACTGTCAGACTTGCTGTGGGCTGCTGTGGCATCAACTCAGCAGCCCTGCCCGTGAGCACTGCTAACTGTGGTCAGTTGGATCCTGGCCATTACTTGATGTGGGCTGGGAGCTCAGTTGGATCCTGGCAAGATGGCGCCATCCTGGATGTGGCTTTTTGGGCTCTGTGGACACTCTCTGGGGTTAGAGAGCCTGTCAACCTGTTGTCTTAGATACTCCTTGTTTCCCCTATTTGTTAAATAAACCTCATAGCTGTTCCCTGTGCCTGAGTGGTCTTGCAATTATGTTTATCAGTGAAGCACCCACAGTGCCTGCCCATGTGGCCATTGTCCTTTGACTAGGTACAGCCCTGCTGGGTAACTACTATCTTAGCCCAATGTTCGTTATTACAAGGCAGAGGAGCAAGACTCCAAAGGCAGAGGAGCAAGAATGGAGTCTAGGGGCTCATATTTGCCTCCCTCCCCCACTCCCCCATTAACTAGATAGGGGCCGTTCCCTTTCCTGTAAAACAGAGCTAAAAGCCTCTACTTATTAGGCAGTTCTGACAATTAAACCTTTATACGTGTACTCCCACACTCAGAAAATTAAAAATATTTTTGCAAATGACTTAAAAAAAAGCAGGCCTCTTCCTGTAAGAAGCCACATGCCCCCGGATCCTCTGGCCTTTTCTGGACCCGTTGTGCAGCGGGCGGACAGGTAACAGCGGCCTGAGCCCACAGACAGCCTCGCGGGAAAACTGCCCAGGGGCGAGTGGCCAGTGGCCAGTGGAACAGCAGCCTCCCAGGCAGGGACCCTCCCACTTCTCCCTCCTGGGGCGGGGTTGCTGCGAGAGACAGCCAACCTCAGCCACTCCAAGCACGTTTTTTCTCAGCGCCCCGCCCCCCGAGGCTTGATCGATAGCTGACCACGCCCAATAGTGACAAACCACTGTAGGTGCGGCAGCCAATCAGCGGTGGCGAGCCCGGCTAGGAGCGGGCCGATTTAGAAGCTCTGGCCCTGCCGCTCGGGGAGCGGCGCCGCGCGGCGGCGGCTGAGGTAAGATGGCGGCGGCCTCCCTCTTTGCTTTTGCAGTTAGGCTGCCGCTTCTCCCTCTGTGCCCGCTCCGAGCTGCCTCTACCCTTCGACAAGCGTCAGGGTCTTCCTCCTGTAGTTTCCGCGAAATTGGAGTCTCCGGGGTCTGGAGCCTTGGGACAAAATGGCGCCGGCACGGGCCGCCGAGGACGGGCCAGGCCACGCCGTGAATGCCAAGGCTGCCCGGGACAAAGGCGGCGTGCAGGGAGGCGGCCTCGGGCGGGTTGCCGGGGCCGCCTTGCGGCCGCCTGGCCCGCGCTGGCGCTTCCACTGGTGCGGTGCCGGTCCTGGAGGGAATTTTAGCTGGTGGTAGGCGGAGAGGGTGGGCGGGCAGCGCGGGAGAAGTTGCGGGCAGGCGCCTCGACGAAAGTGGGCGCCCGGGGCGCGTGGGGCCGGGGGCCGGGACTTTGCCCCCGTTGTGGAAACTGGCCGCGAATCGGCCGCGTCCTGAGGAGCGCCAGCGTTCGGGACGGGTGAGGACTGTCTGACCTTCTGTGTGACCCTGCAGGCTTTGGTATGAACAGGATTCGGATTCACGTCTTGCCGACTAATCGGGGGAGGATCACGCCGGTGCCCCGGACCCAGGAGCCCCTGTCCTGTGCCTTCAGTCACCGCCCGTGCTCGCAGCCCCGTCTGGAAGGGCAGGAGTTTTGCCTCAAGCATATCCTTGAGGACAAGAATGCTCCCTTCAAGCAGTGTAGTTACATATCGACGAAGAATGGAAAAAGATGTCCCAATGCTGCCCCCAAGCCCGAGAAGAAGGATGGGTACGCTGTCTCCGTGCGCGGGGAGTGAGGTGGCCGCGGTGGGCTGCAGCCCCGGCAGACCTGCCGAGTTCCCAGAGTTTCCAGCTCGCTTGTGCATTGGGGTGCTGGGTAGATATAGACTCTTGGAAACGAGGCGAACATTAAAACGGTGGAAACGGGAAGAAAGCCACTTGCATAGGGCCAGCCAGTTCATCTCTAGATGTTTTCCCTTCTCTGTTAGATGAAGGGATATTCTGACAGTTCTTTTTTTAAGATTTATTTATTCCTGCGTGCAAGAGCTGGAGTACAGGCGGGAGGTGAGAGGATTCACCAGAGACAGAGCAGGGCGCAGAACAGGCTGGCTGACCTAAGTATGCTGAGGGCAGCAGCAGGCAGGCAGGAGAGGTCTGCCAGCCAAGTGGGTCTGCTCCGCTCCCTCCCCGCTGGGATGGAGCTCCTGCTGCTGTGGCTGCAGACTGCCCCATAGTGCTTGCTGCGCCTTAACCCCTTGTGCCATCACGGTGGGCCCCATATTCTCACAGCTCTTAACCGTGGGCTTCTAGACTCTTTATTGCTACCGAACTTGAAGTGATAATCAGAATTGTATACTGGGAAAGATTTCATAGATTTTATCATATTTGATGTTCCTGTGAAAGGTAATTTGTGCATGTCTCTTCTAATTTTAAAATTGTCTCATTGCTAACAGTGGATATGAAGTAAAATGCAGAGTTGCCTTCCAGACCAGTTTTGAAAACATGAAAGCAGATCTCTGATTTGTTTTGGGATGATAGCAGTCCTCATTTTTTTTTTTTTTTTTAAAGATTTATTTATTTGTGCATACAGAACTGGGGTATAGGCCAGAGGCTCAGGAGCGGCAAGAGGCTTCACCAGAGACAGAGTGGGGAGCAGAACAGGCAGATCGATGAAGTACACTGCTGAGGGGAGCAGCGGGCGGGTCAGGAGAGGTCTGCCGCGCCATGTGGTCACCTCCGGGGCAGGCGGGAATCGAACTCATGAGGAAGCGGCTCCAGATTCTCAGTGCTGTGCTTTAACCCGCTGCGCCACCAGGGAGGGCCAGCAGTCCTCATTTTTATAGTTGGGTGTTTTGTTTGATGGATAGAGCACTGGGTTATGCTGCTTTTATGTCCCCTTGGTAGTACCAAATCACTGCCCTTGGGTCATTAAATTACTCTGCACACTGGCCTTTTAAGTTTATAAATGAAGATAAGTCATTTTTATTTCCTAAAAAAGATCCAGAGAACAGTGCTTAATGAAAGTCATTTAACTCTTTGAAAAAGGAGTGTACCTGAGCATATAACGTGGTCCTGTTTTGCCTCCATAGGGTATCCCTCTGTGCTGAGCATGCCCGAAGGAATGCCCTGGCACTTCATGCCCAAATGAAGAAGACCAATCCAGGGCCTATGGGCGAAACACTTTTGTGCCAGCTGAGCTCATATGCAAAGACAGAGCTGGGATCTCAGACTCCTGAAAGTAGCCGCAGTGAAGCTAGCCGAATTCTGGGTAAGGATCTTCTAAAGGCAGGAAGAACGTTAAGACAGAACTTAGATGGATAAAGCACAGTACCTTGATATGGCGCTTGACAGTTCGGTGAGCACTCAGGGCCTGCTGTGGTTTTCACTAGTTCTGTCAGTTTGAAATGTGTTCAGGTTTACTTTCCTGAACTAATGTTTGTTTCCTTCTCTGTTGTTTTGTTCTTATCCCTTTTGCTAGGATGAGGTGATTTTAGGAAAGGAGTAATTTTGAGGTGGCTTTTCTCTCCTTTTGAGGACATGATTAAGTAATTACAAGTAATCTTACTTGGGTTGTACTTTTCCCCCTAAATCAGTAACAACTTGTATTGCATCTTAAAGATACGTCACAAATAGGTCTGAGGAATCATCCAGTATCTTGCTGTTTCTGAACAGTTTAAATCTTACTCATCAGCCTGCTGAACTGTTTCTTTTGCAGAAACATAGATCACACCCGAGAATTCTGATGTCCTGTCTTTAGTTGTTCCGGCTTGCTGAGTCAAGCTAGCTGACTTTGATACAAGTTCAGTGTTGTTCCTCCAGCTCCTCTTTCTGGACTGAGATACTGACCAGGAAACCTGGTCTTATCCAAACGCTAAGATGTAAATTTTTGCCCAGGAAATTTCGGGTTTTAACAAGAGCCTCGTTCTGTTGAGTAACAGTGTTGAAGGGGGGCATCTGTAGCCCTTACTTTGTCAACTGAGGCCCCGGTGTGTTCTGTATTGACTGGGGAGTGCCAGCAGCAGCTTTCTGTTTCCCCACCATTTGTCAGCCTGGAGCCTCATTTTCTTTCCTAGGACACTGAGTTGACACTGATGTGACAGGATTCCTTGTGCAGGTTGCCTCTGGGGCCCTTTAGGGAGATGTCATTTTCTGGCATGTTGACTTTGTTTGCTGAGGATGGTTTTCATTCTTGTGGTAGATGTGGCCAAGAGCTGGGTTTTTGAAAGCTGTTTCTATTTGCCTTTGTACTAAGTTTTTAAAATTACCTTTAAGGTTTGGGCTGATGTGTTGATCTGTCTAGCTTTGTGAGGTAGAATTAGACGTGGGAAGTCTTTTTTTTAATATATATAATAGTTTATGTTTACCTCGTTTTGTGCATTTTTTTTTTTATCTCAGTTGTAATCCCCGTGGGCTTCCCATCACCAAATCACCCTGTGATGTAACCATAGTCCAGTGCATTTCCCTCCCCCCACTGTTTTTGATGCCATACCCCATTATACCCCCATAAAATGTGTCTCTGGTCTATAGCTGTTCATTATTATTATTATTTTCTTGCCTGATCCGTTATACTCCTGATATGAGTGAAACCATCCAGTATTTTTCCTTTACTTTCTGGCTTATTTCACTAAGCACGATCCCTTCCAGCTCCATCCATGTTGCTGCAAAAGGCATGAGTTTATCTTTTTTGGTTGCTGAGTAATATTCCATTGTGTATATGTACCGCATCTTTTTAATCCAGGCATCCACTTATGGGGATTTGGGCTGTTTCCATGTCTTTCCAGTTGTAAACAAAACAGCAATAAACATGGGGGTGCAGGTGTCTTTTTGAATCAGTGTGTTTGTGTCTACCTAGGAGTGGGATTGCTGGGTCATATGGAAGCTCCATGTTAAGCAGTTTGAGGAACCTCCAAACAGTTTTCTATAGTGGTTGTGCTAGTTTGCATTTGAGGTGGGAAGTCTTAATGGCCGATCTTGCTCCCATTCCTCAGATGAAGACAGCTGGAGTGATGGGGAGCAGGAACCTATTTCCGTGGATCAGACATGGAGAGGTGACCCTGACAGTGAGGCTGATAGCATAGACAGCGATCAAGAAGACCCCTTAAAGTAAGTTGTGACTCTGCACAGGGCTTTTAAAACTTGTATATAGTCAGTATGTGGATTGTAGTACTGTCTGCTGTGAATTGATTGAAAACCTAGGAGGCTTGAAGCTAGGTAGTGGTGACCATAAGAGCTTTAGTATATTGAAGGGTCATGATTGACTACTGTCTTGCTTTGAAGCAGGATGTGATTTTTTTTAGATGTCTTATAATTTGGGGAAAATTTTGGACATCAGATTTCACACATGAGAAAATATAGGGAAGAAAATGAGAAGTTTCTTGGACTTAGACATGGAAGTTTGAGAAGTGCTTAGGGACTTAGAGAATGCTTATGTAATGGGTTCTTGGCTTAAACCTCAGGAATAATTAAGTGTATATATTTGAAAAACTTTTTTTGGTAAAGTTAACTTTTTATGGGATTTGTTTTTTAAGAGAAATACAAAGATATTCAAGAATTTCCTTTGGTTTTACGTATAAGAAACTGGTCTTTAAAAACCCATAAGTAGTGAGCAATCATACTAATTTTACCTTATTAAGTTTCTCTTCATTTAACCCATGATCACATTGGTAACTGTGGAAACAAAAGTATTGTCATTCTTCAGTCTCATTCTCACGGTTTGGGTTAAAGTTTAGATTTTTTTTTCTCCTTCCATCTTTTTCTGAACATGTCCCACTGATGATTTGTTTAGAAATGTTCATCGTGGGAAGAATAATACATTTTAAGATAAATTGTGTTGAATTTTAATTTTTAGAATAGTGTTTTCTAGGATTCTGTTTAGGGTTATATTAGTAGAATAATTTCTTGTATTTCTCTTGCATAATTTCACTGTATTCAGCTGTTCATGAAATACCTGTTTGGAAAGTCCATCTAACTTGTCTGAAAGCATTGTTTGTTTTCTAGCAGGATTCTCACTCAAAAAGTAGTAAGTGATACCCTCTCCCTCCACACACACACACTTTGCGCTTTTACATCCAGAAGTGCCAGACATGCTGTTTTGAAGAGGTATATAAAGTGCCCAAACACTTAATTTTGTCAGTAGTTGAGAGTGGACTACTTACTAACTTTATTAGTAGTTTCTGCTGCACAAATTCATGCTAATCTTAAAAGTGACTGCTTTATAGATCCAAACCCCAGTTAATTTTATGGGCAATATTAATATTTTATACCAGGTACTTAATATTAGTTTCTCCTAAAAGGAATAGTCTGAGGTGAAAGCAAAAAAGCCCCCATATATGTCCCGCTGTTAGTAGCTAATTATAGGGCTTTCCCTGAGTTGTTCTAGTGAGAAATTATTCAAAAGAAACCTTGGTTCACTGCATGCATTCCTCAAATGCAAACAGTTGTTAATGTCTGCTTATTTAATTTATTGTTTGGCTACATACTATTGTTTTATTTAATTACAAGTGTTTAGTGAAATTCTTTTAATTAAAAAAATTCTTTCATTTTGGCGCTCATTGTTTTTGTTACCATTATGATCACTTGTCAAATCACCTAACAATGTATAGACTGTGTCTTCACATGCTTATTGTAAAAAAGTGCTTTTTGTATTGTTTGTGATATCATTAGAGAATTTTATCCTACCATAGGCATAACTATGATCCCTTAGTTGTAAGTTTTATTATACAAGCACCAGAACCTGTTTTGAATTCAGGTCACATTGGTTTACTATGTTGTTCCTGATTTAGAGGCATAGGATTAAATAGGATTACACCTTCCAGGTGTTGCTCACACCACACTCACCATCCAAACTCCCATAGGACACCCCCCCCCCTGTAATCTATAATCCCTTCCCCACCTTACGCTCTTCCTTTCCCTTCCTCCTCTTACACTCTCAGTTCTCTAGTCAAGATTTGTAGGGTTTGTTATTAGTTTGGCTTTATCTGACCTTTGTTTTGTTTCTCTATACTTCATCTATTCAATAAGTGACACCATCCAGTAGCTGTCTTTTTCCTTGTCTCTTACATCACTTAGCCTAGTCTTATCCCATTCTGCTCATGTTGTTGCAGATGGCAAAGGTTTTGTCTTTTCATGGCTGAGTAGTATTCCATTGCACATATATACACCAGGTACATCATCTTGATCCATACATTTGTTTTTGTTTTATTTATGCATACAAGAGCTGGGGTGTAAGCTATAGATACAGCGGGTGAGAGGATTCACCAGAAACAGAATGGGGAGCAGAACAGATGGACTGACTGACTGCTAAGGGAGGCAGAAGGTGAGACAAGAGAGGCCTGCTGTGCTATGTGGGATAGTTCCCTGAGCAGGGATCGAACTCATGCTACAATGGCTGCCCATAGCTTCATAGTGCTGACACATAATCCCTTGCCTCATATGGGAGGCCCCACATATCTGCTTTTGGCCACTTAGATTGTTTCCATAGCTTATCTGTTGTGAATAATGCTTCATAGAAATAGATGATTTTTGAATTAAGTGGTTTTGCACCTTTTTTGGGGGGGGTATAGATATCTATGAGTAGAAATGCTGGGTCATATGGTAAATCCATTTTTAATATTGAGAAACTTCCACACTTTTTTTTCATAGCGGCTGGACTAGTCTGCATTCCCACCAGCAGTATACCAGGGTTCATTTTCCTGCACATCCTTGCCAACACTTGTTTCTGGTCTTCTTGATGTGGACTGTTTCTCACAGGTGTGAGATGGTATCTCATTGTGGTTTTTCTTGCATTTCCCTGGTAAGTGATGACAAGCATTTTCTCATGAGCCTGTTGGCCATCTATGTACTTTTGAGAAGTACCTATTTAGTTTTAGATTTGTTTGTTTGTTTGTTTTGAATTAGAGTTCTTTGTAGACCTCAGATGTCAGCTCCTTATCAGATGAATTATGCACAGATATTTTCTTCCATTCAGCATTGTGTCTTTGTTTTAGTGATAGTTTTCTTTCATTGTGTAGAAACTTTATCTTGATGTGTAGTTTATATTCTTTTTTGTTTTCTTTGCTGATGGAGATGAATCCACAAACACATCTTAGAAGCCTGTATCACAGAATGTTTTGCTTTTGTTTCCTTCCATGTATTTCATGGTTTCAGGTCTTAACATCTGAGTCTTAATCCTCTCTTTTTGTGTATGGTGTGAGATAGTGGTCTTAGCAGGCCTTTGCTTCTTCCTCATAGCTGAAGGAGAGTCTTACAGGATAGTGTATTCTTGGCTGCCAGTTTTTATCTTTTTGTTGAACACATTGTCCTGTTTTCTACTTGCTGTCAGTGTTTCTTCAGAGAAGTGAGGTGCGAGTTCCCCCAGGGTTACCCACTGCCCACCAGGCCAGCTTCAGTATTCTTTCTTTGCCTTGAACTCTTAGAAGTTTCCCTGCTGTGTGTCTTGGTATCAGTCTCACTACATTTAGGTAACCAGTGTCTTTTAGCTTCATGGACTTGTGTATTTAGTCCCTTTTCTGGGATTGGGAAGTTTTCCATCACTATTTCTTTAAATAAGTTCTCTGTTCCTTCCCCTCTTCTTCTGGGATAGCCACTGTTCTTATATTTCCTTTCCTCATGGAGTTGGGCAGTTCTTGAAGTGTTTTCTTCATTTTTCTTTTTCATTTTTATTCGACCTAGATTTTTAAAACTTTATCTTTGAGGTTACTGATTGAGCTTTCGTTGATCTTTTTTTACTTCCATAACTTTTTTTGTAAGACTTTTCTCATCTCCTATATTAAACTTTTTGTCTCCTGCATGTCTTTTGTTTTCTTATTTAAAACTTCAGTTTTGACCTTCTGTTTATTTTTATTTCTCAGGACAGTTGTTTATTTGAGTTCTTCTATATAGAATCTGATTAGCTTCTTGGTTTCCCATTTCTTTGAATGTCTTTATAATGGCACTTTTGAACTCTGTATTTGATAGGAAGAAAAGATCCATCATGTTTCTTGGTTAGTTTCTGAAGATTTTTTTTAAAGATTTATTTATTATGCATACAGAGCTGGGTTACAGGCTAGAGGTGCAGGGGGTAGAGGATTCACCACAGACAGAGTGGGAAGCAGAAAAGGCAGATGGACTGAAATACACTGCTGAGGGGAGCAGCAGGTAGGACTGGAGAGGTCTGCTGTGCCCTGTGGGTCACTCCCTGGCTGGGGATCAAACTGGTGCTACACTAGCTGCAATAGCGTCATAGTGCTGTGCTTTAACCTGTTGTGCCACCAGAGAGGGCCCAATTTCTGGAGATTTTTATCTTTCTCTGATGTGATATTCCTCTGAAGACTCAAGGTACCATTTTTTGTATTCCCTGTGACTGTGACTGGCTAGTTTCTAAGAAATGTTTTCAAGTGTCTTAAGGGTGCAGAGTTTCCGCTTTTCCAGTAGGTGGCACTGTGTACCAGGGAGAGCTAATCTCCAGCTACCTCTTCTGAGGTTGGATGAAGGCTTGGAAGAGTTGTCTGTAGTGAGGAAAGGGAGGTGTCTGCTGTGTGGGCGGTGGTACCTGGAGCCTCTGGGCTTCAAGCCCACTGCCCTGCGGTTTGCAGGTTGGACTGAGTGAGGCTTCCTGGTGACTTCCGCTTGGTGTTACTTGTCGCTTGTTACTGGTATCCCTGCCATCACCTGAGGGAAATGGGGGCAGGAGTGTCTTTCTGTGCCTTGTCTTCACTGGGGGTCCTGCCCACTGGCTCATCCCAGCACTTGAACAGCTGTCTCTCCAAGCTCGGGGTGCGCATCTATACCAAACAGTTCCCTCTTTAGGAATGGCCTCTCTCGGGAGTGAGGATTGAACCACGGCTCCTGCTCCTGCACGCGCTTCCCTCCGTACCTCGCGCTTCTGTCGTAGGTCGTTGGGGTTGGTCTTTGCCCCAGTCCATGCAGTCCGGAGTCTAGCGCCCATCCAGACTACTTTATTCGCCTTTGAGTGAAGCAGCGAACCTCCTGACACCATCTTCATCCCATCAGTCCAGAACTTGTTTTGGTAAAGTTCATTTCAGGTTATTGATCCTCCATTTTTCTCAAGAACTTTGGGAGAATGCCCTCTAATCAGAGACACTAGTGGAATTGTAAGGTGACAACCTCTTTTTTGTTTTTAAAGATTCATTTATTTATTCATACAGAACTGGGGTACAAGCCAGAAGTGCAGGGATGGTGAGAGACTTCATCAGAGACAGTGAGGAGCAGAACAGGCAGATCATGAAGCACACTGCTGAGGGGAGCAGTGGGTGGGTCAAGAGAGGTCTGCTGTGCCATGTGGGTCACCTCTGGGACCGGGGATCAAACAGGCACTGAAGCTACTGTGGCTAGCTTGCACTGCTGCATCCTAACCATTGAGCCACCAGGACGGCCCCGACAACCGTTTTTTTTAATGATGAATTCTGTAATAGAAATTAAACCAGTGTGTGTGTGCATGTGTGTGTGAGTGAGAGAGAGCATGGGGAATTAGCTACATGAGTTTAATAACTAGCTGTGAATATGGAACTGTCTAGAAATAAGCTTGTCACACACACAAGGCATTTGCAGTACGGTGGTCACTGCTATGCTATTTCCCCTCCCGTTACTGTGATAATTTCTCATTATAGTGGCTTGCCTTAAGAATTCTAGTCCCCACACCATTTGCTAAATTTCTTCTAACAGGGTAAATGGAATTAATTTCATTTAAACAGGTGACATTAGGTTAAGCCTCAGTATTTTACGGTTGTAGATACAGTTGATTTTCCAGAAGTAATGAGTCACTTCTGTCGTTTTATCATTGTGCTTTTAATGGCTTTCTGAATTCTCTACTTTGTCCCAGACATGCTGGTGTCTACACAGCAGAAGAAGTGGCCCTGATCATGCGGGAAAAGCTCATTCGTTTGCAGTCCTTGTACATTGATCAATTTAAACGACTTCAGCATCTGCTCAAAGAGAAGAAGCGGCGCTATTTACATAACCGCAGAGTAGAGCATGAAGCTCTAGGCAAGTTTATGCTGGTTCAGCAGCTGTCGTGGCTTCAGGGTGTGACTTGGGGAGTAGTTCAAATTGTTTCTGTCTTGATAGCTAGAACAGAGGGTAATATTTTTTATACCTAGGTAAATTTAATTTAGAACGCCATATAGGTGTTAAGGATTTTGTTTCTCCCCAGCAGCAGTATATGTCACACCATGCGGACTTCATGTCCAGTCACATCCCCTCCCAGCACTTGGCCTCCACCGCTCCCTTTCTCCACCTTCCCCTCTGGTGCCCTCCATTGTGCTGTCAATTTAAAGGTTCCTTTTTGTTTGCATTTTTGTGTTTCCTTGTTTCAGCACATAGTTAGATCATATGTTTTTGTATTCATCTATTTTTGTGGATGAGTAGTGCTCCAGTATCACATCTTCTTTACCCCTCATCAGTCGTTAGGCACTTGGGTGGCTCCTACCTTGGCTGTTGTGGGTAGCGCCGAGCATAGGACTTAGGGGTGCCTGTGTCTTTTCAAATTAGTCTTTTTTTTTTTATTTGGGTAAATACCCAAAAGACAGATTATTGGATCATATGGTAATTCTGTTTTTGATTTTCCATGGTGGCAGCACTGGGTTACATCCTTACTGTTTGTAACTGTACTCCATATTTTCTCCGACCCTTATTATTTCTTGACCTTTTGGTAAATCTCACAACTTTGAGTTTCATTTACCTAATTTTGATTTCCCTAATGATAAGTGATGTAGAACATCTTTTCTTGTATCACCTGTATGCTATCTTTAGTGAGAGAAACTGCCTTTGCTTTTGAAACTGCTTATTTTGTGACCTAATTTGGAAAACCATGCTTAATTGACTGCTTGGCGGATAACATCTGGATTGTTGTGACACTTCAGGTGGTAGTCTCCTGACAGGCCCAGAGGGACTTTTGGCCAAAGAACGAGAGAACTTAAAGCGACTAAAATGTCTCCGGCGATATCGACAGCGCTATGGAGTAGAAGCCTTGCTGCATAGGCAGCTTAAGGAGCGCAGAATACTGGCCACGGAAGGGGCCGCCCAGCAGGTAGAGGCCTCACCTCTGAATCTGCGTGTTTGCTTTGTCTACAGAGTAGGGTGATCACCAGACACATTCTTGGCCTGAATTTGGATGTTGAAAAGAACACTTAGGGGAAAAGAAAAGAACGCTTAGACTTCTGGAGACATGTCTGTTCTCCAGAACAGATCAAATTTGTGCCCGTAGCGGTAGTATAACTTTCTGTGCCTCTGTTCTCATGTGCAAATTGAGGAGTTGCCTCAAGTTTCTAGTTTCCCTGGCTCAGAAATAGGCACAGGTTAAGTCTAAGTTTCCTGGGGAAACTTAGAAGGTGGGAAAATAGGTAGAATAATAGTCTGAGTGAATTTCAGGAAGCAAGGTTGGTAAGAAGCAGAATTTTATTTCTCAAGCCCTTGGTCCCTGTTTCATTGACAGTTATTCCATTTTTATTTGTTGAAACTCTATGTAAGAGTACAATTAAAAAGGGTCCTGCTGAAAGACAAAATAGTTTGACAACAGTTTTACACTCATGATACAGAGAGGTGCATTTCGATGAGAGTTGTCTTACTGTTTCAGTATGAAGTTTAAAAGGTTTTGTTTTGCGTAGTATTGGTGAATAAATTTTGTTAAACGCTGACTTTTCTGATATTTAACGAAAAATCTTGTATATTATATCTTAAGTAGTCTTAATGTGTTATTCTTTTGTTGGTTTATTTTAATTTATCTGTTCTCTCCATTTTAGGCCCATACCACTCGTTCCAGTCAGAGGTGCTTGGCTTTTGTGGATGATGTTCGTTGTTCCAATCAGTCTCTTCCAATGACCAGACACTGCCTTACCCGTATCTTTTCATTCTGCTCTGCTTGCTAGGTGGACTGAGCGTGAGCGGCAGTCTCTGTGCTAGTTGGCTTCATTGTCGGTCTGTGTTTTGGCCCTGAATCAAGGCCGGCAGTTTGCTGAAGCTGTTGGTTTCAAGCAGGAGCCTAAAGAAATGTCTTTCTATGGTCTGTTGGCCATTCCAGACTTTTGGAAATGTAATGGTCAATTCATTAGAAAGAAACATTTGAGTGATTGGTCATGGATGTGGACTAATATTTATTTGTAGTTGACTAGTACTGAGAACCTTGTTTATTAGAATTGTAATATTGCTAGATCCAGTTATTACCAACATTTTTTTTTATTTTTCCACACAAGACAATTTGATGACTCTGAACTGTGAGCTTCCTAAGAATATAATCGTTTCGTTTGATTAGAGCCTTAACTTGTATATTTTAAACTTCATTCAAATCAGAAACCATGGGATAATGATTGTCATCCCTAATTTAATTTAACAGCATAACATCTTTCAATTCTACTATGGGACTTTGTTTTACTATTGGGCTACAAAGCCCTTTTGAGCTGTTACTGGATTGTGAAAGTGCATTTTTATTCTGGACATTGATTAGGAAAGTTACTTTCACAGTAAAAGCACTTGTTAAATATGATGATCTTCATAATATGAAAGGCGTAAAGCTTGCCAGATTCCATTTGCTTGGCAAGAGATACCAGATACTGGGAAGTAAATGTATTTTCTTTAATAGGAAGAGGAGAACCTTCTCTGTATTTTGAAAGGGGAACTGTTTATAATTGCTTATTAACTAATACATATTGATAATTATTAGTGGTTGTTGAAATAAATGTCTGATAAAGGATTGCTTTCCTTAATATATAAGATTCTTGAGCAAAGTAATTAAAAACTAAAGATGAGTGCTTAAAACATAGTTAGGCAAAGACTGTGGATAGATTTAAAAGTAGAAGTGATTGATAGTTGAAAAACATTTGGCTTCTGTATACATAAATGAAATAGGAAATGAAACAAGGAATTTATATTTAATGAGTGAGAGCGGAATTTCAGAAATTGGTGAGGGTGTGGTGAAATATGCCCTTATTAGCACTTCTAGTGGGAATACAAAGTAAAACTTTTTAGTAGGCAGTCTGATAATACTCATATCCTTTGATAGAATGTTGCCTTGAAACTATTTTAAGGCAATAATTGCACATTATGTTTTTACATAGAACTCAACTGGTGACGTTAAAATATTCAGAGATACGGAAAAGAGAAGAAAATATGGTAAAATAATGTTGAAGTTGTTTAGGCATTAAACATTTAACAAGATTTATGAATGACTTGGAAAATGAGAATCACAAAAATAGGATATGAAATTCTGTACTTTTGCTTCATGGTTTAAATACAGAGATTTTAATGTGACAGAAAGGTAGCTGTTTTTGGATGGTGGGGTTATGAGGGCCTTTTTTCCCCTTGCTTTATACTTCTCAGATTTTCTTAAGTAAACTTGAATTACTTTAGAAAGCAAAAAACAAAACAAAACAAACCCAGAATATTTTAGATTTTCCTTATAGTGCTATGTACTTAGGTAACTTATTGAAATACTGGTATTTTACAGAGTAAAGTTGAAAATGACATGTATTTGAAAAGAGAAGTACTACTTTTTCCTTTCATGCTCTTTTCTTTTCCGCTCCATAGTTGTCACGGTCACTTACCCTTCCTTAAGTCCTGCCCCAGAGAAAGATGCGACTGCCATTGGCGAGCTGTTACTCTTTACTCTGGTCAAATGGAGACAGCACTGGACTGAAAGTGAAGGACCCAGACTCTAGGTGTAGGTCATCAATTCCCTTCTCTTTGTCTTTGTTGTGCCCATCTGAACAGAAAGGGGGAGGAGGCGGGTGGGAGAGAGCTTTTCCTGAGGATATTTTGGTGAGTAAGTAAGAGAATTGTGAACATCCTCCAAGTTCCATGAAAAAAAGTTGTGATTAGAACATTTAATAATTATCAGTTTAAGTATTAATTTAAATGAGATTGGGCTTCTTAAATACATTGACTAGATTTCTTTAATCTGATAGAAACTAAATCTGATCCCATTAGCTCCATATTTGCTCATTGGATGATTCATTTTTATCTAATATTTATTTGATTTGTGCATTTGTGCTGCTGTTTCTGCTGCTGTTCCTCTAGGTGTTGGCTTTCACCCAGGGGCTCAGCTCAGCCCTCATTTGTCAGTGTGTGAAGACAGTTTTGCTTCCTATAGCCCACAGTCATGTCACTGACCTCCGGAAGGTGGAGGCCGGGATGTTGCTGAACATCCTGCAATGCATAGGGCAGCCCATAGTGCCTGCCAGTTGTGCCAAGGTTGTGAAAAATCCGGGTTCAGAGTGTAATAATTTCCAGCAGTAGATTGAAAGAAATGGCTTCATTCAAGAAATTTTATTTAGTTTAAGAATTATAATATACATTACATTTTTTTTTTAAAGATTTATTTATTTGTGCATACAGAACTGGAGTACAGGCCAGAGGCTCAGGAGCGGCGAGAAGCTTCACCAGAGACAGAGTGGGGAGCAGAACAGGCAGATGGACCAAGTACACTGCTGAGGGGAGCAGCGGGCGGGTCAGGAGTGGTCTGCCGCGCCATGTGGTCACCTCCGGGGCAGGCGGGGATCGAACTCATGCGGAAGTGGCGTTAGCTTCTCAGTGCTGTGCTTTAACCCGCTGTGCCACTAGGGAGGGCCTACATTACATTTTTTAATTTAAAAAGTACCCTAAATTTTTGGGGAATGAAAATTACTCGTAATTCTATAGTCTTGGACACCCTCAGTTTCTAGAACATTGCTTATGTTTAAAATTATTTGAAGAATTGGTTGTATTTAAGTAAAATATATCTTGTAGAATGACTTGATCCAGATTTTATTGTTTTATCTAATCATGGTTTCAATTTTGATTCATCCTGCAGAGCTTCTTTGCCAACGTGGAAACATAGCCCTCTTTTGCTTTTACCCTTAGTAGAAGTTGTTAGAACTGGAATGGAATGTTCCTGGGACACATCATTTCCATGGGCTCTCATCAGCGAAGTTATCTTTAACCCTTTCTCTTTGGGCTCATAACAAGACTGCCCAGCACTAATATCACTTCCCCTTAAAATGGGAGTTTATTTTTCCTGTTAGGATATGGTACCTGGTTACTGTTATTAGAACTTCTATTTTTCCAAGTTCCTGGTTGCTCTCAATGACTTTATTTTGTAAACATTTTAGAAATAAGATTCAAAAAACTTTTGAAAACTTGTCATTGTGCTTTACAGCAGAAACAATAACTGTATCTTTTAACTCTAGAAGGGGCTCGAAGAGGCCTCTCGCAGGCTCTCTGCACCTACCACACTTTATTTTCCTCAGTAAGTGTAGATTTGTAGGGTTGTCATGGCTGTTTGCTCAGCACTGTGGTTTCAGATATGTTGTGTTTGAACCTTGAAAGGGAATGAACTAGATTAGTACTGGGGGCTAATTTTGAAGTACTGGTAGAACCACAATTAGGAGGTGGTAAGCGATACTTTGAGTAGTAACTTTTTAAAATTGCGAACTGCGTTTGGTTCTGTATCAACTGTAGCCAGCTCGTTATGGTAATATATAACTAAGAGTTTTATACGGCAGGCAGCTTTTCTATTCCATCCATTTTTATTTCCCTTGACCGTTTTTCTACAGATATTTGTCAGGATACGAATCAGGTTCTCTTCAAATGCTGCCAGGGATCTGAAGAAGTACCGTGCAACAAACCAGTTCCTGTAAGCCTCTCTGAGGATCCCTGCTGCCCTCTGCATTTCCAGTTGCCTCCTCAGATGTATAAACCCGAGCAGGTACTGTCTGTGCCAGACGATCTGGAAGCCGGCCCCGTGGATCTGTACTTGAGTGCTGCTGAGCTTCAGCCTACTGAGAACTTACCTCTGGAGTTCAGTGATGTAAGTTAGAGAAGCTCTGCTCTGGTTGGCCCTTGAGGCAAGGCCTTACTTATTAATGGTGAGAATAGGTTAGTGTGTTTGTGGTCAAGAGGGTTTACAGTATAATTCTGAAGTGATGTATGTGTGATTGTATGTTACAGTCGTCATTTAGAGACACTTTACATGTACAGACCTTTTTCTGAGGGAGTAATAAGGGAAGTTGAGAACCAGGTGAACTTTTGTAGTTGGATTGGCATAGCCAGGAACGAATTTTAATAATAAAGGCTTGTTTAGGCTCTGTAGTAAAAGCTTTTGGTTTTAGATTTAAGAGTCCTCCAAGAATTGATTCTCAGCTTTGGCTACTGTTACGACTAGATTCTATTGTGAGTGGGCTAAGTATGACAGTGATCTCCCTAATTAAGTATATACAACACTTTTTTTCCTCAACTTTTTCTTTGTTTCCAGCCCATCAATCCACTTCTAATTTCACCTCTCTCTCTCCCCGCCACATTAGCAGTACTGTGCTATCTGATTTTAGGGATCAAATAGTATGCAATTGGCATTGCATCTCCATGTTGGCATTTTGCTTAATCTTTAGATTTGTGAATAAAGGTCTTAGCTATTCTGAAGAGGAATTTTCTGAATTTTATAGTAAAGGTATCTTTATATAACCATAATGTGTTTATGAATTGAAAAATTTATAGTAAGCTAAAATAATTTTGCTAAGGGTAGAATTTTGCATTTAAGGGTATTGGTCTTTAGGAATTACATACCAGGACAGGATAAAAGTTCATTTATTCAGACTCAGAATATGAGGACTAGAAAGGAATCTTAGAGACTAGTACTCCAGTGCATTCCAAACTTTACTGATGGTATCGGACTGAAGAGACTAAGTAGATACCCTTGAGTGATATGTTTAGAGTTTTGTCCATTTCCCTTCCCTTTTTATAGAAAGAAAACCCAGAGGGGGGGGGCTTCCTTTTTTTAAAAATGAGGAGCTTTATAGAGTCTAATAAACAGTCTAATAAGGAATGCACATCTGTAGAAACTAGCACGTGTTTTATATAGACATTGGGTTATTAACATATTTCATATGCTTGTTAATTTCTAGGATCAGTATCTGTTTCCACTTTTTTGCCGTTTCCTTTTTGATTTGTTTTTGCCACGTTAGTTTTAAGTGTTTTTTTTTTCTTAAAAGATGACTTTTGCTAACCTAGATTTAAGAAAATATGACTTCCAATGTATTTCAAGATTCTATTTTTGTTTGTTCTTTGAAGAATGCACAAAATAATGAAGATCATAAGATGTGATCACAGATGAAAAGTTGACATTTAAGGTTAATTAAAAAAATTTTTTAAAGTATATTGTTGTCTCATCCTTATTTATGGCATGAATTTTTAAAAGTTTTTGCACCCTCCCTCTGTGGTGTGAACCTTTTAAAGATTGTATGAAAAGTAACCATATGTTTGAGACCTTCATGGATTTTTAAGATGACCTTTGTTGATGTCCATATAAGAGTAATGAGCTTGACCTGTGCTTGACTCGCTGTTGTGCGCCTTTACAAATCATTGGTAATTAAAAGTCTGTTTTCATTCTTAGTCTTCGAAAGTAAGAATTCTCTAAAAAATGTCAAAATAAAATCCACTTTATTAATGAAATTTTTGTCCTGAATTCTGAATATATTTACCAATATACAGTTTAAGTTGGGAAAAATGTTTAAGGTAAAAGTTAAATGATTTCTTAGCTCTATTAATTTCATCACGTAGTCTTTACTGGTTGCTTATGTTCCACACAATTTGTATAACTTGTTAATAATAGTAACTTGTGGGCATTTAAGTATGGGAGAACCACTCATTGGATATGAAAGTCGGTTAAAAAGAAACGTGCTTACGTTGGGACATCATCCTTGCCTCCTGCCCTCGGACCGTGGACGGTGGGCTCGCAGCTGGCCACTTCCTGTTGCTGGGCTAGCGCTTGTTGAATGCTTGGAGATTTCAGGGCAACATTTGGGCTTTTCTCTTTGGGTTCCGCTATCAAATCTAAGTGTCCCGTCACTGTGAGCACTTCCGCTGACCCTTTTCTCTCCTCTTTTCAGTTCGGGCCCTTTCCTTCAAGACACCACTGAGCATGTGGGAAATGTTTCATTATCTTTTCCTTTGAAAACACTTTCATTGTTACCTTGAGTCCTTGAGACCTTTTTATACACTTCTTGAATGGTTTTTAATTGTTCCATGGTAAATAACAGAAGAATTGTAGAAAACATGTCACAGTTTTAATTGTGAGAAAAGTGATTTATGTGGGTTTCAGAATTTTTTGACACATTTGAAGTAGATGTCAGGTAGTTGACTGTATCCTCTGCCCTATATCTATGCAGAAATTGAGGGGCTTTGTCTAGTGGCTTCTTTCATTTTTTTCTTTATCTAAAACCTTAACTATCATGAAGATGTGATTAGCAAGTAAAGGGGAAGGATTTCGAACAATTATTTATAAACATAGAACTGACGTTCTAACGAAGCTGGTTTATTGGAAACATCAAGCCTCTCTAATGTAGTTTGGGCCGAGGGTGTATAAAACCCTTAGGTATTGTTTACTCTTGGGAAGGAAAATTTCACAGTGAATTCTGAGAAGTAGTGGCATGGAAGTCAAACGTTGGCCGAGCCTCTGAGGTCCTGAATCGAGTTCACTGACTTGCTATAGCTGTTTGTTCGCACCAGAGCCAAGAACAGTGTCTTCTGTGGTTTGCTGGCCATTCAGTACCCAGGCGGAATTTGCCAGTTGCCAGTTGGAAAAGACATAGTCTGTAGAAAGTAATGCCTTATTTTCTTTCTTTTTTTTTTTTTTTTAAAAAAAGAATATTTATACACACAAGAGCTGAGGTATAGGCCAGAGGTTGGGGGGGGGTGAGTGGGGATGGAGAGGGCTTAGAGGGTTCTCCAGAGACAGAGAGTGGGGAGCAGAACAGGCAGATGCACCTAAGTACACTGCTGAGGGAGCAGCGGGAAACAGGAGAGGTCTGCTGCAACCTGTGGGTCACCTCCCTAGCTGGGGCTCGAACTTAGTTAATAGAGGTGCTAGCACTGAGACTTAACCCTTAGGCTGCCAGGGAGGCCCTTTTTTTCTTTTCTTGTTTTTAAATTGCACAGTTGGAGTTTATCAGTTTAAGAATCTGGGACTTTGGCTGTTGGGATAAAACTTAATCAAAATAGTATTTCTTGGCCATTCAGGGAGACCTGGAAATACTTTTTTTATCTCCTAACCCATACCCTCCCTTTCTTCTTGTTCACTGGCTGGCTTTTAAGCCTCTGGCTATAAAACATTAATTGACAATTTTGTTTTGCCCAGTATTTTAACTTACAGCTTTGCTAATTGTCCACATTAGGCTCACCACTGGTGACCTTATATTTTGATTATTAGTAGTTCAGAGGGAATATGCTTTAAGATTTTTATTTATTGTGGTAAAATAATTGTAACATAAAGCTTGCTTTTTTAAACACATTTAAGTGGATAAGTCAGTGGTATAAAGTACCTTCACTGTATTGTGCAGTCATCCTATCCATTTCCAGAACTATCCCAACAGCCTAAACAGAAACTGAGCTCATTAATGCTGTGACTCCCACCTCTCTTCTCACCACAGCTTCTGGTAACCACCATTCTTTTTGTCTCTGACTTTTCCCTCTTTAAAAAATAATGCTTTTTAAAGTCCCTACGTGGTCTGCTTTTGTTAAGTGTGGCAGCAAGAACTTTTTTTTTGTTGCTTCTGGGTCTTAATTCATTTGTTGGTGATTCTGGGACAATATTTGATTAAAGGTCAGTGAGGGGTGAGGGTTGTATGGGAAACTTGCCTTGAGGTTTACTGGAAAATACACCAGCTGCAGCTTCCTGGTTTTCCTCGGTGGTGCTGAAAGACCTGTGTTTCTCTTCTTTCCAGGACCTGGATGTTGTAGGGGACGGTATGCAGTACCCGCCTTCACCCTTGCTTTTTGATCCTTCATTGACCCTTGAAGATCATTCGGTCAGAGACATTGCTGAAGGTCCAGTGGATATTTTGGCAAGTGAAGAACAACCCAGGCAGGCTTTCCTCATGTAATGGCGTAGCCAGGCTGAGGTCCCCGGCCAGGCAGCCTCCACTCTGGGCGCTGGGGTATCGCCACAAGGGTCAGCCCCAAGGTGCCTCGTGAGGCTTCTGCTCAGTGATGCCATGTGAGGGAGGCGCTACTTAGGGAAGCCCTTCTGTCCCGAAAGCTGCCGGCGTTGCCCCAGCTTTCAGGGTGGGCCCTTAGTGAGCGGAGTCCACACTTCAGTGACTAGAGAAGATTGGGGCAAGAAATCCGGGTGACTGGTTTCTTTCTCTTGGCATTAAAATGAGTCCCCGTAGTCTCAGTTCTTCTTTCCTCTGCCATGTTTCCTTGTATTTCTTTGACCCTTGCTCCCTCCTTCTCCCCCCTCTCAGCCTCAGAAGGCTCACTTGATCAGTTTCTACTTGTTTTTGTATGTATTTTGGGTTATTGAAACATCCGCTGTATGTAATCAGCCAGTATTTTTCTGTCGTCCTGAATTGCTTCACTATGCCCAATTCCCTTGAACCTCTTTGCTTGCTGTCATTAGTAACATCTCGCCTTCCTGTTGACTGAGGTACTCCATTGTGTGGTTACGCCATGTGTTGGTCCAGTCCTCGTCACGGGGCGGTGAGGGTGGGCTCTGTGTCATGGCTCTTACAAACAGTGTTGCAGTGAACATTGTGGTACACTTACTGTTTTGAGTTGATAGTTTCGAGGTCTTTGGTTTGATGCCAAGGGTTGAAATTGCCGAGTAATACAGTATTTCCATTTTCAGTTTTTTAAGGTAACTCCAGAGGTCTTTCTGAAATGGCCGCCCCAGTCTACATGCCCACCACCAGCACACTAGGGCTCCTCTTGCTCTGTTCTCTCCAGACCGCGTGGCGGGACGTTGCCGTGTGTGCCGCTCTCACAGGGGTGAGGTGACTTGGCTCTGACCTGTGTCTCCCTGGAAATGATGAGGAACATATCTCTGTATTTCCTGGTTTTCTAGACACTCTCTGTGGTGAAGTGTCTGTTCACATCTGTTGCCCGTTTACCAGTTGGGTTATTTATGAAACTGAATACGTTTTTGTATATGCAGACACTTTGTTGGTTGTGTGGGAATGTTCAGTTCAGTAGGACGTCACAACCTGTATTTCCTTGCTCTGTGTGAAAACTTAACTGGAGGTAATTCCAGTTTTTTATTTTTCTTACAGAGGTCGAGTCTTCAAAGATATTTTGTCACTGATGTCATAAAACTTACCGCCGATGTTTTCTGTCGTTGCGGTCTTAATATAAGTCCTTAGTCCACTTAGATTCACTCTGGGTGTGCAGCTAGCAAGTAGTCCAGCTTCCTGTATGTGGCCATCGAGTTTTCCAAGTGCTCTTTGTGAAGACACTCTTCTTTCCCTCTTGTATTGTGAATTAAATATTGATATGTACATGGATTTATTTCTGGGCTTTGGTTCTGTTCCACTGACCCAGGTCTCTAACATAGCCAGCAGCATACTGTTTAAATTGCTGTTGCTTTATAGAATAGTACTTTATTTTAAAATGAGGTAACTAGATGCCTTTGTTTCTTTCCTTTTTCTCACGATTTCTTTTGATTTTTGAAGCTTTTTATTGTTCTACATAAATATCAGTGCTTTTATCTGATTTCTTTGGAGAATATTATTATTGACCGCGTGGTGGGGATTATGTTTAAATTACTTGTTTGCTTTTGGTAAAATAGTCAGTTAACTATTGATTCTCCCCTCCATGAGCATGGAGAATTCTTTCTGGCTCCCTGATGTGCTCCTGTGCCCTTCAGAGGGGCTCTGAAGCAGCCCCCTTCATGCAGGCTGTACTGTCCTGTATCATTTGTGAAGTTTATTTTTCCCTGCCGCTTCCTGTCATGCCGTTGCTTGTGATTGATGCAGTAGTCGTCCGTTGTCCTTGTCTTGTGGTAATTTGGTTATGCTTTTGTGGACTAGGCAAACCCCATGTTGTCTTGCAGACGCCTAAAACCATCGCGCAGACTCCTAAAATGTCCCATTTGAGGGAGGGAATTGTTCTTGTAGTAGAGTCAGGGCAAGTAGTGAAGGTTTGGCCTTTTCTCTGAGGTGGAAGTTGGCCCTGACTGAAGACCAGCTGTTGTACGCTAGCTGTTGGTTTCAAACAGAGGCCCAAAGGACTCTCTTCCTGTGATCCACTGGCTGTTCTGGAACCTCAGCAGAGAACAGCTATTTCATATGGAAGAAACAGCCCACAAATCTCCCTTTGGGGAAAGCAGTGACCTCTGACTAAGGGACAGAGATGGAGATAGCACAGTGTGCAGAAGAGCAGCTGGTCACTGCACCTCTGCTGTCTTCTGTGGGCATTGGTAAGTCAGACTTGTGCTTCTCTCTACAGTGAATACATTTGTAATCAAAGTGCCTCTGTTTCTTTTAACAGGGCCAGGTGCAAATGGCTGGAGATGTCTGCAGATTACAGGGCTCTCGGAGTTCTGAGAAAGTGTCTGCGTCATTGTCGCAAAGTGGAGTGGCAAATGGGAAGCCAGAGCCCAGATCTGTCAGCTGATAGTTTTGTTTTGGGAACCGATTGACAGGAGGATTTGAACTCCCCGTTCGTTAAGGAAGCTTTTCTAACGGTTTCATTAAAAATAGCCTAGACTGTCTTGTTTCTCTTGTAAGTGCTACAGTCACATGAAACCAAATTTGGGGGAAGGCACCGTGATGTTTAAGTGTTGTGGGTGACTTCCCATTCTGACAGGAAGGGTGATGTCAGAACTGCTGGAATACTGAGACAAAGCTTGGGGCTGTGCCAAAGGACGTGCCTGTGTTGAGGGGACATCCCAGGACTTGGAGGAACCTATGTAGGTGGTTCGGCTGGAACAGTGGTGGGCCCGGGTCTGGTAGCTCTTTTTAACAGCCTGCATTGTAGCCTTCCCTTACCTCTCACCTAGTGTCCATGGATGACCTGTAACCGCTGAGGAGACAGCCCACGGGACTGGGCCCCCTCGCAGTGTAGCTGCTTCTAACTGATGTATATTTCTGTCGTAGTTATATAAGACAATAAAAGAATTATTGGGTATAGTTTCTGTTAAATGTTAAAGTATTACGAAAATGTAAAAAATCACTTGAATGCATGTTTTGTTTGTACTTGAGAATATATTTTGGATCCTCAGGTCTCTAATAGAAAAGGGAAAATAGGACAAACAAATATACATGGCAAGAAGTAGATCATATATTTCACTACTTCGGTTTTTGGTTGGAAGATGACAGTAAATGGGAAGGTATGGGACTTAATTATTAAAGTCTGCCGGTTCTAGATTCCTTTTCTTTTCTCATTCTCTGCGCTCCCTTCTCACAGTCCCAGATCTTCTGTCTCAATTAATACCTGATTATGCCAGAATTTTCTTGAGCTAGGGATGTGAAACTTACAGAGGTAATGGGCCTGGTGCTGCATCACTGAGGTCAGCAGAAGTAATCGAAACATTTTGATGATGAGTCTTTAGGGGTGAGCTACCCAGGCTGGGAGTTGTCTCACTAAAGCACATCCTGACAAGGCCAGAGGACCACCTTCTGGCGAGGACTGGACTGGGAAACTTATTTACATTCAGGGAATGGTTGAAACTGACCGGAGGCCCATCAGATGGATTCCTGACACTGCCGCTAGTGAGTCTTGCACTACTGCTCCGGTCCCCGCTGCTGTCTTGACTTCTTGGTCTGGTACATTCTACATCTCATTGACAGAGATGGCCATTACTTTCGCAGGTATGAATGTGAACATGCCTACTTCAGGGTAGATGGCACGCTCTAGTAACATCACAGGCACACCGGAATTTGTTACAAAGAGCCTCAGACTGGAGGTCAGTGAAGACAAGGTTCCCTTGTTAGAATAAAGGTCCCAACCCCCTGCTGAGCTCAGTCATTGGTAACCTCGGAAGCATGGCCTGGTGTTGACATGTCAGGAACCCAAGGTGAAGAAAACAGGTGCTCGGCTGGCTGCCGTAGGCTGATTGCAGAGGAGTTGTGGGTGGCATAGCTCATGGCCACTGCCGCGTGCATTGTGCCAGACTTGAGAAAATGTGTGTGTGTAGCTCGAGAGGCTTTTTTAAAAAAGGAATTCAGGAACAAACAACAACTCAGATTGTGCCTTGGCCACAGCTCATAGCTGCCTCCACTAAACATTCTGAATGTTACCTTTACGGGTAGGTCTTGGTAGCTTACCTGGGAACGACAGTCTCACTTGGTCCTGGCCAGCCTGGACCCTTGGATAATCTTACCCTTTTCAGGCTAAAGCCATACATGATCACTTCCAACTGCATGTAAGAATCACCTCCCCTTGGTTGATCCGGCATCTACAGTGTCCGTGTCCTGACCCCGGGTCCTGCGAAGGCTTCCTTGGTGAAAGGGGTTGTGTAGGTGTGATGTGCATGGGTTTGGGGAAGAGAGTAGCTTGTGTTACACAGATGGGCCCAATGTAATCAAGTCCTCAATCTCTCCCACTGAAGAGGGAAACAGCAGGTGAGGAGTCGATGTTAGTTCTAAGACTGGAACTTAGGCTCAGGAATCAGAGGTCAGGCTTGGCCAAGCATGGACCTCAGAGCTGACAGCGTGGGACCAAACAGTCCTGTGGTGCGTGATCCAGAAAATATGAATAATGCAATTAAAAGTAAACAACGAAAATGGACAGGAAATCTGCATAGATACTAAACTTTAAGATACATGAGGTGTGTAGAAAATGGCCATTGGAAAATACAAAAAAACCATAATTAGGCCATCTCATACCTTTGAGAATGGTCCATGTTAAAAAAAAAAGCCCTCCCTGGTGGTGCAGCGGGTTAAAGCACAGCACTAAGAAGCTAAAGCCACTTCAGCATGAGTTCAATCCCCGCCTGTCCCGGAGGTGACCCACATGGCGTGGCAGACTTCTGACCCGCCCTCTGCTCCCCTCAGCAGTGTACTTCGTCAATCTGCCTGTTCTGCTCCCCACTCTGGTGAATCCTTTCACCGCCCCTGCATCTCTGGGCTGTATCCCAGTTCTGTATGCACAAATAACTTTTTTTAAAAAATGAAAACAGGCTGGCAAGGATGTGGAGACCACACCTGTGGAATGGTTTGGAGGTTTCTCAAAAGACTAAATGTCTTAGGTATTCTAAATAGTTCTGCAGTAAACAGTGCAGCCTCCCTCTGAATTAGTTTTGTGTTCTTAGGTAGTGCCCAGGAGTAGAATTGCTGGATGACACGAAAGATCCATTTTTAGTCTTCTGAGAAACCACCACACAGCTTTCCAGAGGGCTGGACCCATCTAATTCCCGTCAACAGTGGAAGAGGATGGGTTCCATTTTCTCCATACCTTTGCTCGTCTGCACTTGGTCCTGGTCTTAACCTGAGGAGGGAAATCCTGTACTGTTCACTAACAGGGGCGTAGAAAAATGGTAACTTCAGTATGAAAATAAATTTAAAAGGTTAGGTTAATTCAGGCAATACATTTCTCTACCACTTAAAAATATTAAAGATGTATTAACCATAGAACCCAGCAAGCCCACTCTTAGGTATCCACCCAAAGAATACAGAACCACTGGTTCAAAGGGAAACAGGTACTTCTGTGCTCACTTCAGCCTTACTTATAATAGGTAAGTTGCGGGAATAACTGAAGTACCCAAGGACAGAGACCGGGAGAGTGTTAACACGCACACACTGGGATACCACTCAGCTATTGAAAGCTAAAAGGATGAACTGTTCCTTATAGCAGGGAAGTAGAGAATAATGCTAAGCAACACAGGTCAGAAGGAGAAAGACGGTGGCCTTGTGGAATCTAACAGGGCAGGTCTAAGCCAACACAAGAGTTTTGCAATAGTAAACTCAGTATCTGAATGCAGCCCTGCGGCAACCAGAACGGTGGTGACAAGGTGGGAAGAGGGGAGAGAAGGGGCCCAGCGGAATATCGGGGAGCATTATTGAGGTACTGATGGCGTAACGGGGACCCCAGGAAAAAGGGAGGTTCTGGGTATCCTGCCCCACCCAAGAAAGGGTGGAACTGAGCAGGAAAAAGAAGCTGGGGATGAGACTGGGGAAGGAAGTGGGATGGAGAACAAGGAGACCTGAGGAGGCATGTGGAGCAGTCACATCAAGGCCTGCACTGGCTTCTTGGACTGGACTGGGTGAGACGTGGGTGAGAGGCCCGTGGGAGGAGACTATGGCAGCGTTTATCTTGATTTTGATTTTGCTCTTCCTCCCAGACTTGTCTGGGCACTTCTGACTTTTTCCATGGTCCCCGCCAGGAGGCGCCTCAGACGAGGCGGGCTTTCGGGCCTCAGTGGCCCTCTGGGCCAACTGTTTGGCATTCCTCCACTGGGGACAGGTATCTTTTGGGTGTTTGATTTGGAGACTTGATTCTTCCCCTTTTCTGTAAAATGCATTTATTCTATTAAAGCTCCTTTCCATTAAAGGTTGAATGCACTTAGGCATATTTGTCTATGCAGCAGATGGCAGAACCTATTTAGAGCGGGAAGGTTGGAGGTTCTGGGGTGCCCCACACTCAAGTCTGGAAGGAAAAAAGCAAAATTAAAATCAAGATAAATGCTGTCATTTTCCAATGGGAAACAGTATGGAGCTTCCTTAAAATATTAAAACTCAACCAATACCATATGACACAGCGTTTCTGACATGTCAGAAACATCTAATTTCAGGGCCCTCCCTGGTGGCACAGCACTCTGAAGCCATCCGCAGTCACTGCAGCAACAATTTGACCCCCAGCCCCGGAGGTGACCCACATGGGAGAGCCTGACCCGCCCGCTGCTCCCCTCAGCAGTGTTCTTCATCCATCTACCTATTCTGCACCCCACTCTGTGTCTGGTGAATCCTCTCACTGCCCCTGCACTTCTGGCTTGAACCCCAGTTCTGTATGCATCAATAAATAAATCTTTAAAAAAAAAACCTCTTCATTTTCAGATTATCCCAACCTTATATGCTATTTTGCAACATTTCTAAAGAAATAATGCTTCCTCTTCCCCGAAGCACATTTATTTTCTCTTCTGCACTGAGCTATGATTGAGACCTAGACACTGCTTTTCATTTTTTCAGGAAAGGGCAGAGATACAACCAAATTGTAGGCAAGCAGGCTGTGACCGTAAGTGTGGACTGGGAGCCCCGGGAGCCCCGGTTCCTGGCCCAGCAGGTACTTAGCCCATGGCCCAGGGCAGAGAATTGCATGCGAGACCATCCTCAGATGTAGCTTTTCTCATCCGTCCCTCTTCCAGACGGTTCAAAGTCCAGCTCTCACTCACAGCCGTAGCAACCCACACTTGCAGCACGCCATAGATTCTATCCTGTCCTTCAGCACCACTTCCTCCAGGTGGGTAGGGGATGGGGGGTGGG